CTTCTAAATAGTATTATATGTATTCACCTTATTGCGATTAAGGTTATAAAGCGAAAGATAGTTGAATTTTCCCACAATCAGATGAGCAGACCTTATGTTGTCATTGAATTCAACACAGACTTGCTGTCCCAAAAGCCATTCTCATTCAGGCCGAAGTAGACTGCGGTTTCGACCTTGCCTGAACCTGTCCAATCAGCATCCTCGGCGGGACTCGAACCCGAGTTGTGGTATGGCAACGTATAACCACTAAGCCAGTCTGCCACTAGTGCCACTAGGAATGCCAGGCATCTTCTCATATCACATTCTGTGGTGGGATTGTTGATGAAACAAAGTTGCAAATTTTATTGCAATCGACTGGCTGACTCATTTTTCGTTTATGGGTAGGTTTTCAAAACTGCCAATAGATCATGTGTATGCAATGTGGCATAGTGCTTAACGTGTCATTGTCCGAGTCTCGTTGGGGCTGCTGATGAGACCAGTTCAGGCAAGGTCGAAACCGGAGTCCATTCGAGTCGGGATGAGAATACCTTTCAGGAGAGACAGTCTATGTGAAATTCACTTAAAGTGTATGGTATGCCCATGTGCTTGTGGGAAAATCTCACTACCAGTCCCCTTGTGACCTTAAACGAAATAGGCTGAGCACAGTTTTTACAACAATAGGCTAGTTTCAGCGACTGGTAGGCCCGAGACGAAAAGTCTAAATAGAGACAAGAAACTGCCAGCAAACTAAAGGTCACACCATCTTAGCCTTCATATCTTCGGTCCAACTATCAGCCCTTTGCTAGACATAATTTTATATTATCATTAGTGCTGTTGTCATTGTTACAGCTGTAAGTCAAGGTATGAGGTATACTTTAAATGACACTTTTGCTCCTCCCTCTCTCTATTGCCTACCTTGAGCAGTTTGAGTGGCAACAAAATCTCGTAGAAGCTCGTCAGTCATTTGGGAGTAGAGCAGAAGCGCCTGTCGTAGTTGATGTAATTCTGGACTACGCTCCAAGAAGCCACGCTTGAGACCACGCCCACCAGCATGGAAATACGCCCGGATGGTGTCCAAACAGAGGTTTAGTAGCTCACATTGGTAGGGCGAGAGACCATGTTCTACCTCTTTAGTCATGTCCTGTTAAAAAAGGATTTGGCCGATTCAGCGATAAAATTGGGTTTCACTTTTGCACTATTTATATTTGTAAAGTATATTCATAAATAAAAATTAGCAAAGCTACAAAGTCAATCTCTTATAATTCTATTAGGTTTTCTTCTACCACCTACTTTCCACTCTCAAATTGATTTCCTACATCCATCCATTCGCGTGATCTAAAAGTGTTTAGCTAATTATTGTTTAAGCATCTTATTGCCATTTTAATTGTCATTATCATTCAAGCATTCTTCGTTGAAAACATTACATTGTTGACAGTACAATTAATGAATAAATGACTTTCTCATTTTCAAATAGTTTACTATATTGTAAGACATACTACTTATTTATCGATATGAGTAGTAAGCAATGTAAAGGTGAGTCGTACGATGAGGTTTGCTTTCTGGCATGGAAATAAACGCTCCAAGTAAATAATCTGGATTGCTCATAAAGGCACATTACTTTCGTAATTACTATAGTGGGTATTTGTAAGCCTCTAAATCCTTGTTAAACGGTACCAAGCATCGTCGTAAATTTGTCCAATTTAGGTGTCATTACCACTAGCAACAGCAGAAGTGATAGCCGCTGTAACGCCTTGGGTGGTTAAGTGTACCCTTTCAGATATTCTAACCATTCTATGCGTTTTTCGCATTCACAACTTCCTCATAATCAGGTAAATGTAGTGGAGCAGAATGACCTACCTGTAACAGCTTGCTTGAGGTGACCTGACTCCCGGCCAGGCTGAGCAAAGTCTGGGCGCCTCCAATGAATTTGGCTGAAGTATTGGCTCCCAGGCCTAGACCCATGGTCAGCTACAAAATGGATGAAAATATAGATGGTTCAATCCGAACGGGTTTAATCGTATTGTCCAACCCTGAGTGTGTACATGTGCAATCTTGTGCATGTATATGTGAATTGAGAGCAACGCAGAATTTTAGTACACAAGTTGAATTTTGTGCATACATGTGATTGTGCGCATTGGTTGATAAATTAATGAAGAAAATCTCAATTTTCATTCTTCCAAGAGACAGACAAAAGGTGAGTAAACTTCATTTTTAACATATTCGATAAAAAGTTGAGTTTCGAGGAATTTCTTGTTGCATAAATGTTGAGCGGAAGTGTTTGGGGAAGAGCCTCGAATGCCGGTGCCGCCAGAAGACAACCAACAGCACATTTCTCTTGGCCAGATGTCGATTGGTTTTACTGGAACATTCTTATCGACACTGTTTTTGAGACGATCTCTTTTGCCTTTGGTGAAAACGTGCTAAATAGAATACATAGTATGAAATATCGAATGGAAGTAAATTAACGGATTTGGGTATTATGGCCATTTCATAGGCCTCCATATGGATGTGGCCATTAGGGCGCTTTATAAACATGCGTCACCTCTTGCCGATCGCTACACCGTTCCGGTGTAATGCTTTAAATGATGTCAGGCCTCAAACGGGCCCAATTCGCGTCATGCTACTACCAGAAATAGCATAATTGTAGTAAAAAAACAAGAGGTAAACAAAAGTAGACACAAAAAATCTGATCGCATTCTTGACCGTATGGAAGGGTGTCTGAATGAGGTGGTTCTGGGATGAGTATACACACTTTCTATGCCGGTGAGGGGTCTTAGCAACTGTTGCATGGCTGAAAGCAACCGGAACGATTCAGAAAAGCGTGTTATTGACACTACCCGTTGCACTAAACACGAGAAAAGTCATTGCTTCGGCTACCTCACGACAAGCTCTTGTCCGAATATCACCACTCTGCCCGAGTTACTCGAAGTGTGAAAGCAGTTTGAGTCAGACATGAAGTTCCAAAGCCTAGTTGACAGGAAAGCTGTGCAGGCAACAACGGCAGTATTGGTGTTGGGATGGCTAATATCTTGTCTTAGAAATTGTGGCAATGAAAGAGTTGGAAGAATTTAGACCACTCGAAACCGGTAGAAGAAATCAACCCATCAAATTGGGACTGAAAAGAAGACTAGAGTAATTGGACTCACTTTCATTTTGAACGAAAGTGTTTGGTGAAGAGGTTGGTAGGTCTCCATCCTCTCCCAAAAGACGACCGCCAGAGAATTTCTCTCGGCGAGCTGTCGATTGGCCTTACTGGAACATTCTTGTTGGCGCGGTTGCCGAGGCAATTTCCCTGGATTTCCTCCATCGTATGACAGACATCAATAGACACGGGGATGGCATCATTTGTACAACCGTATTTAAGCTTATTAGTAAAAAACTCACCTCCTCATTCTTAAATGCCGTTGAGCTTACTTCCATTTCGAGTGAATGTGTTGGGCGAAGAGATTCGAAGGTCCGTTCCACCAGAAGACGACGACGGATTCCTTTTGACCAGCAACTCTTTTCTCGTTTTCATTGAATTGCGAAAAGCACATTCCTCTCGTCCCTCAAGTTGACACTTCCACATAATCCTAGGGTACTAAGATGTTCATGTGTTATCTTGACTCGTTAGCTTGAATTTTGTTGTGATGATGCTACCTCGCTCTGGTGATGTTCATCTCATGATGGACGAAAGCTTAGCACCTTTTCACCACAATCAAAGGAGATTGACTCAACAAAGAGCGTCAGCATGTATCTTCCAGGAAACCCAATCGACAGCTGGTCAAAAGGAATCCGCCGTCGTCTTCTGGTGGAACCGACTTTCGAATCTCTTCACC